TTGCTGGCCAACCACGTCGGAAGTTGGATGCAACCAGCATTCAGAAGCAGCAGAGTAGGGATCTAACTTCCCCAAGCCAAAGTCTTTCCCTCGTCTTGCTGCGCGATGACATGGGCTAGTAATCACGTCTGGGATTTGTGATGGAAACCAGTTGGTAGAGTTTGGAAGTACAATAATAGCCAGCTCCTCCCTGAAGACCGGTTGGCCTTGTAGATGGTCCCGATAGATCGCCTTTCTCCGTCTAGAGGTCCATTAGAGGTGGTTGACCTCTAGTCCAGGATTGCTTCGGTCCACCAACAACTGGTCATAAGCTCGGGGTTGTAGACTAAATTGACGTTGACAGCGTCTCAAATACCATCCAACAAGGAGCAAAATTTCGCTCTATGATTGCAATACACTTGTACCTCACCTCCACCCCGGCCGAACGCAGCGTTGTGACGATATGTTGAGACCATGTAGCTTCAATAGGTTGGCATTCGAAATGGTATCACGTCCAAGTTGGCCACGTTGCCCAACTTCTGTGGCTTCTTTGTCGCAAACTCTTTGGTTATACTTTTTAACCCCTTACAATCTTGGGAGCAAGCACCACAACGCACTCTGAGATTTGCCCAACATGCCGACAGGAAGATACTTCTGGGAAACATTAAGATCGAGTACTTCGGGGAGCCTGCTATGGCAGTTAGTCCGTCAGCGTAGAGAGCCTTATCTCGTCGATCAGCGTAGACTGATAATAATTTACCAGGCGCTCTGCCACGGTACCGACTGTCGAAAAATTTCAGGCGGAAACTGCTCGAACCACTTTGTCGTGCCGAGCTCCGATTTCAAAGTCACCCAAGGAACACCCAATGAAATCACCAAAACAGCTGACAGTAGAGAGCCGATCACTAATTGCTTTCGCCCTGACTGTGCTATATGATTGATTTCGTGGACTGCCAGCTTTAGTAGGGAAGGTCGGGAGGGTAAATCTGAATGAAGTTTGCCCGACAGACACCACACTGTTCCGATATGGCGACACCTTCGGCAATATTGATGGCGTGAGGATCATCAAAGCGGGTGTCTTGAACGACGTCAACATCCTCAACAATGTCAAACCCGGCGCCGAATTGTTTGCGCACGAGCGTATCAACTGGGTTCCGGCCTCGCAAGGTGCCATTTAGATTGACACAATGCCGCCACCGTCTTGAAAGAATGCATGCTGGAGATCGGGGTGGTACAGGAAGGAACAAGAAAAGAAAGAATGTAACAATGGATCTGATGGCTTGACTTCCGGATCAATGCTGGTTGAGTAATCTGGTGATTGATCTTCCCCACATTGCCAATGATACTTGATCAACGGGCGGCCCGCTATTAAATGCTCCTTGCCTTGGGGGAAATTGATATGGTCAAAATGGTTACATCGAATGTTAAGCTGGGGGGATGGTGCAAAGTAGTTTCCTGGGCCAACTCCTCCAGATCTCGTCGGAAGTGTAGGACGCCGCCAGCACAAACTCCTTCTCCAACGCCGGTCCAGCAATTATCGCTTGCTCCTTATAATGCGTGGGTATCGTAATGCATCTGGATCGCTTTCAAACAAACTTTGTCCAAAACAGATGGTCTTTTTCCGTTCCCTTGTCCAACCCTCAGAGTTCTCCACTGCAAGGCGTGGACGTTGGCTTCGGAGTTGGGCTTTCTGGGTCATCGGATGCTGCAGGATCTTTCGACAGGCCCCTCAGAGAACTGGGAGCAATCATTGTTTTCAACGGACTTGGGAGAGGTGGAGCAGGCGAATTCTTTCTCGAGGGGCTCGACAGCGGGCTCGCCATCGCGAGACTTCTTGCACGCGCATGTAGTTTGCGTTCCTCTTCCCCGTTCCAATCCTTCGTAAGCTCCGCTCGAACTCCTCGGCTCCACTGTCGTACGACATCCTCAAAAGACGACCAAGTGGTGCTGTCGTCGACTTGATTTGCAACAGCCATCACATCGAGCTGAAGTTTGAGCTCCCATCTCAGCTCCGCTGCTTTCAGCCAATATCGAAGGTTGTCGGCACGTCTATACGGTTTCGCCACGTCCTCGTGGAAGGTTTTGATGTAGTCGAAATGCCTCTTGGATCGTTTGACGGCGGCGTTGTGCATGGTCACAAGATCCCTGCCATCAGCGAGGTTGCGGAAAAACTCTGGGGTGGAATCGACCTTCTCAGTAGATGGGCTTTGACTAATTCCATGAAGCAGGAAGTTGAGAAAGTTGATGTCTCTTTCTTGCTCTCGATCAATCCACCTGGCATCGTCCATCCAGTGCCAGTCCTTCCTCTCGGTCTTGTCTGCTTCCTCCAATTTTGCTTCTTGATCAATCATCATGCCAACGTCACTAACCCAAACCAATACTGCAAGCCTTTCGTCCTCTCGAAAACCGCCCGCAAAGTTGCGAGAGGCACATTTCTTCAGGACATCCAGCACAGAGTAGAGATCCCTCCGCAATTCCTGGTCGGATCTTATAGAATTCAATCTCTGGGGATTGGGATGTAGCGTGTAATAGAGTCTTGCTGCTCGGATTGCTTGAGTCGTGGTATCGAGGACATGGAGTCCCTGGACCTCGTAGAATCCTGGTGTCTGATCGTCAGGGTTTTCCCCTGTTGCACGTTCACAGGACTCGACAGCCTGTAGTGCGTTTTCTAGAGCTTCCACTAATTCTTTCTTCATGGTTTTCTGATCCGGAGGCGGGGCCACATATGTGGATCGATGACTGTACGTTGATACGGTCGGGGGTAGCATCACGTCCGTACCATCCTCGTGCACGGCATCCCACATGGCCTGGGACTCGTCCTCAATCGGAGATTCGACCAGATCTTGATTTGCCGTTAACGACAGTTTTGGAATGTCGTATTCTCCGTTCTGTTTCTTCTTTGCCATTTGGCCTCCCTTGCCATCTAACAGACCCGTTCGGGCGAAATAGTATTGCAGATGGGCGATGCTGCCGAGGCTCATGACACTCTCGCGGTTCTTGGCCGATTCGGCAAAGGAACCTCCTTGAGGACGGACATAGCCACGTCGGCGAGAGTTTGTGCTGGTTCGAGAAGTAGTTGAGGCATTGGAGTATGAGGATCCGCTCGAGATTCTCGAGGCGCCGGAGCAGGATCGATTGGACAAGAGACTGGAGGTGTCAGGGGTGGCGAGGAGATTTGGGGAGGGCGAAGGCGATCGGGAAGGGATGCAGGATGATGACAGATCTAGATCTGTGCTCATGGCGACCGGATGGTTACTGAAGGCCTCGAACCGGGGAAACACAGAATGTTCTGAAAATAGAAAGAGAGCAATGACTGTAGCACTCTCCTGGCGGTGGGCGTGTAGCACGGACACGCACGGTAAACGGCCGACCGGCAGTGACAGACAGATGGGCAAGTCCAAGTGATATTGTAATGAACGAGGGAGGATCAAACTCGATCAAAATGCACACAGAAGTTGGAAAAGAAGATCGACCTTGCCATGGTGGTTGATGATTGAGAGCAGATAGGTGGTGGTGGTAGTGGTGGTATTGGTGAAATTGCATCGGGACGCTAGTGCCAGATTCGAGGTCGAAAGGGGGAAATGAACGCAGTCTGGAGAAATCAACAACCGGCTGGGACACCTGCTCTGCTCCTTCAAGCCAGGCCACTGCCCCGTGATCTTGATCTCAGAATGAATCTCTGTCGCAACGTTCTACGCATCTTCAATCACAGGTTGCACGTGGGCAGCAAAGGTCCCAGAGTCTATATATACCGAGCATACCTACGCACCCATAGGGAGCCACAAGAGCCATTTGTTGACACGTCAGACGCGAACAGCGCGTTCCCTCCCAGGCCTCTTCACCACCTAAGGTTTAGCGGGATCGACGGGCCAAACCGTCCAGATTCTTACCTAGGTATCCAGTACACAGTTAGTACCATGCGAAAAACCTGTCCTCCATCGCCCCGGTCTCCTTAGTAGCTCGCCGCTTTGCTCATCCTCGGCTCTGTTTCCTGAGCGATCCCTGAGCACTCCCTGAGCACTCCCTGAGCCTTTTTGTCTTCCCTCTTCAACTTTCGTCAACTTTTAGACGATGGGATCCGTTTGAGATGCTGGGGGACCCCAACCCGGCCTCCCATCTGATGTACTCTAACTCTTCAGTTGGGCGGCTCCTGTGTTGCTCTCTTACCCGGCAATTATGCGTCTCTGCCCACTTCGAAGGCCTGGTGGAAGGTCGGCTTTGTGTTGGTCCTCTTGCCAAATGCCGACAATCTAGCTCAAGGGGAGAGACTTCAAGCGCAACTGGCCTCAGTTACGCAGGAACTCGATGAGATGAAGGCAAAAGCACGCCTCTGGCGACTACGCGGGAGCATTATTCAACTTCCTCAGACAGAATTCACCGCATGACGCGCACCCGACAGGCCATGCCAACACTGTTGCCGACAAGCTGCAAGCCGCCGAGGCTTCTGGCAAATCCCTCCGGAGACCCTTAGTATAAGGATTTTGAGAGGACTGTTGCCGCCGCCAATAAGATTGATTCCCGCACCGATCTCCCAACAGCAAAGCTAGCTATTCAGGAGTACGCTGCTCGCAACAATATGTTTCATTCCAAGAGTATGGCGCACAAATTCGTCACAAGACTGGACTAGGCCGGCACACCAGACTCATGACGATATTGAGGCCCTACCGACAATCCTACCTGGTGGACCAGCTGGAGCTGTGGAAACGTGGACCAAGATCATCGAATTCTACCAGAGCCAGCATGTTTGTTTATGACGATCGCGCTAGCCAATGGACAGCTAAACCTGCGGCCAATCCAAGGACCGACGGAAGCTGAACCACAAATTGGCACGACAAGAGATATACGCCACTTGCCCCCGGAGATACAGGAGCACTCATTCGTGGCAGGCGACTTCCGGACTGAGAGGAAAAACCATTGTTCAAGGCCTTGCCAGTTCGCGGCGAAAAGGAGTTCGATCCGATTCACCCAATTCTGGACCCCTGAAACGGAAGCGTGGGCTTCTCGATGAAGGACCAGAGACAATGCGCAAACGACAAGAGGTGGTCGACTCTCGCCTGGACGCCGCCGCCCACGAGAATCCGGACAATGTTGCAATCCATGCAGCATTAAAGGATTTCGCCGAGCTGTCTTCGCTCAATCCTGAGAAAGGTAAGAAGGTGCTTACTAAATTTGCGCAGGATGTAGACAATGGCCTGAAGGCACATACTTCAGCGCTGACGAAGGCAGCGAACCGCCAGAGGCGGAAGGAGAGGGTGTTTGGGAGTCAGGCACAAGGTAAGTGAGTCGCTCGCCATTCCCCCTCCCCTCCCCCAACGCTCGTTCCTGGAAGCTCCCTATCCTATTCATTTCCGACCTCCCCTACTATCATTGCCCCTGCTTTGTGCCATGTTCCCACCTTCACGTGGTGCAAAGTGTTAGTACTCCCCGTCCGATGATTCGTTTCAGCCATAGACTTGCGGTCACGATAGGATGTGAGAGGATGCTAAGAGGACCATAAGGGTAGAATTAACTTTATACACATGTGGTGCAATTCCAGCCATCTGACTATATGAATCCATGCCTTTGACTCTCCAATATCCAAGTCAACGCAGACAAAAATCTATTCCCTGATATCGTCTACGTCGCTTTCTCTACCCACCCAGAACTCTCAAACCTTCCCTCCTCTCCATCCCTCCATGCTACCATTTCCACCTTCTCTCAATTTCTTGCAGAATCCCGTGAATAGTCCGCGGCAATCTTTCCACACTCCCTTCCTATCGTCTCGTTGCCTCTTTGAAGGGCTCTTTACGCCTTTCAGATATATTCTGTGATCCGCAGTAGCAGGACACGGCATCAATAGTACGGCGCTGACGGAAGGACGGTAGATGGTGCATCCCTGTCCGCCTCTATTAATTAAGCCTGCTCGCTAGACCCTTGAGCGAGCAGGCCACTGGAGTTGTCATGCTGTAGATTTAGAGAATCTATCGCTGAGGGACTATTACTCCGTACTTACGTGATAAATACGTTCACGTGATTGATGTACCAGTGGCTCCAGCCGTTCAAGGAAACACTACCAGTACAGTAGTTGGGTGCAAGTTGGGTGTTCCTGGCAACAACGACCAACCATGTGAGCGCGGAACTGGGCCCTTACGAGCATTCGAAACACTAGCAACTAGGGCAGCCGAGGACAGCATGATGAATATTCACGTGATTTATTACGCTACAAGATGGCAACATTGTTGGTAGCTGCCTTGGCGAAAAGGGGATTAAAAGTTCTCTGGCAACAACAACCGTATTAGGGGGGATGGATCTGGCCCTTCCCGAGCAATGCGAAACACTAAAAACTGGGAGCTGGGGCCCAAGATACTGGTCCCACAGGACTCACGGCTGGTCATAGCACGACTTAGGGCTCCCCATGCGGAGCTTAGGACTGCATAATTAGCCACAACTCAAGTTAGCTTAGCTCCTAGTCATGGGTCAGGTTAAATGGCGGGATGCTCCCGTCTAGAAACGGAAATGGAATCGTATATCGGTTTGGGGTCAAAGAAGAAAGAGATCTCTACGAATAACTTTGGTAGGGCATTGATTGTAGGGGTTGACATTACTAGATGCAAACAGGTTCACCCATGCTGAACTTTCCCAAACATCCTCGGACAAGACGGACAAGAGGATGAGCCTGACGTGTTGTATGACCGGGCTCTACTTCGGCTCAGTCTCTTGAGCTTGCTCAGGTTCACCACCTCTCTGCTCAGTCCCAAGTTTGGCCGCTAGCTCTCATTACTTAGCTATTCACGCCCTGTGCGTGAGTATCTCCCCTCGAGGATGTGGCAACTTTGCTCGCCCGTGTGCGAGGAACCAGTTTGAGGATTCCAAGGTTCCAAAACTCCCTCTTATACTTAATCGCGCTCTGTCCAAGGTGAAGAGGCCCTAGGCAAACTATCAGGCAGGTTTCGCACTCTTTCATCATTTATGGTAGCGCTTATCATTGTTTATTTAACCTTATACAGTTTCTGAATACTGCACCGGCCCAACTTCTATTCAGACTCTCTGTCCAGAGAGTCATTATCCATTTTCCGAGCGATGTCAATTTTAAACCTACCCCACATACCTATACTCTTGTTAAACTTGATTATTCGGTGCTAGCAACATTTCAATTTGTCAGTGGTAATGAGGCTCTCAGCCTTCTTGACGAAGTTCACAACTGTGCTATGATTATAATCCTTCGCTCTGATTCACGGAGACTCTAGCTATTTAGGCGTGGTTACGAAGTCCTCAGACTAGGCTTACTTTCATTGTTATTAATAATGCGTAGATCTATACAGTAATCGCTTTGACAGGACCATTTGCACGAAGACGGAACCTTCAATCCGTTCCATTTGGCAACAGTTCTGAGAACTCACTTGACCCAAACCCGCATTCAACCACCGCATCGGCAAGGGGAGTCGAAAAGCTATAGCCAAAGCTTGAGAATGGCTCTTTCAGTTCTTTTCCAAGACGCTGGTCTTCTATCATATTATCCTCTCTTTCAACCTTTCCTTACTTCCTTTCAACGCATTTTGCTTTCAACTTCGCCTTGATCCCTCTCTATTCCTCTTTATTTTTGGACCTTTCCTCTTTAACTCTCTTCTCTTATCCTTTCATTCTCTTTCAACTGACGTACCTAAAGAGTAAGCAGCTGGAATAGCATATAACCAAGTTAACCGTCATAGTATTTTACACTGATGTAGCGCATTGTGTTTGGGGAGGCCACGGAGCTCCAGCAAGATTTTTCAGCCATTCTTGGTCTGTTGTTCTTGTCGCGTCCACGTCTAGTTCCCCTCGAAGATTCAGCAGGAACTCCCCATCCATGATACCATGGAGGTAGCATTGGCCCTTAAACTCATACCTATCTATTCCGAGTTTTCGCCAGACCACAGGGTGCTCGTAACCCATGAGGATCCAGATTTAATCGTTCACTACGCAGCTTTCGCCAACCATACCTATATAACCATTATCGGTGACGAGAAGCTTTTGATCTCTCGTTCGTAGCGTTATGAACACTCTGTTCCTGTCATCCCTTCGGAATTTTTGGGCAACTCGTAAATGGCGAGTACGTTGGCCTTCAGCAGGCCTGGCAACCAAATTTGTTTCTTGCAATCTCGCACGACGCTTGCCTGCACTTTTAGATGGAGAGTTGCCACCAATGCAAATGCGGTAGTAGGCGAGCTGGATTGGTTCCATAGTCGGCGTGTATTTGTCTCGCCCTGTGCCCACTTTTGAGCTATTTGAGACCATGCCCCTCCCGGGAAGATCAAATTCTTTTCAGGATCGTTCATATTGTGAAACCTTCCTGCTGGTTCTGACAATTGAGCAATACTTCCAACCAGTAGGCCCTGTAAGGAAAGCTGAAGATTATCTTCCTCAAGGTTCTGGATAGAGGAGCTACCACTGGCGTTGTAGAGTCTTTCAAAGACCATGGTTGGGAATATCAGCTTGGTCGAAATATTCTATATCGTTGAAGCGATAGTCGGGCACCCATGATGGAAGCTCTGTACATCCGAAAAAGTTCTTCTCTCATGTGACGGCTTTCATGCCAAGTACTTGGAGATCTCTGTAGCGTTGAATAAACCAACGACTTACTGATGCATAGGCTTCACGAAAATGAAGGCCATAGTCTCTAGGGAACTGATTGGTATCCAATTCATCTGCAAGACCTTCTAGCCCATATATTTTGTCGTTTGGCTCTGTTGCCTGGCTCTCCTGACCCACTTTCATTAACGATTGTAAATTGCGATCACCAAGAGGATATCCGAACAAAACGGCTGGAGTCTTTGTCTCTCCAGGTTTCCATGAATGGGGTTCCTGGCCTGCAATCATTCTCCTTACATCCGAGTGGTGTTTGATCGCAGAGTTCATCAACAGGTGAAACTTCCGCCAATCCATCGTGTAATATCCGCACCGAAGGGTTGCTCTGCGGGCTAACATCACCTCCCGAAAGACCCATAATCGTGAAAGCCATGGACCCAGCAGGTGGCGGAGTGCAACCCATTCTGGATGATCCGGTGTCGTAAAGCCGTGTTGGAGAACCTGCCAAATCTTCTCTTTTTGGTGCTTCGACCCATTCACTTGGGTATTTAATCTGAGCATCTCACAAGCAATGTCTTCGAGAAGTTCGAATGCAAGACATATTTGTTCTTGTTCGTCACCAAGCCAGATTAGAACCTCTTCCGCACCGCTGAAAATTCGCCCCATCATCATGATCTGAGATGCCTTCTCCGGCTTATTAGCCTGGTCGAGGGATATCTGGTCTACCCAGAGGTTTTGTCCTTCATCACAATTGCGAATCCAACTCAGAGCATTCCAAAGACTTTCGTGATCGATGCATATCCAGCATCATCACAAATAATGGTGTGATCCCTTTCTCCTTCACCCATGCGTATGAAAGCGCAGTGTACCCGTTACGAGAGATTTCAGGTAGTATATGCGAGATTGTGCATCGGAGTTCCTCTTTACAGTTTAATTTATAGGACCTTATTTATAGGCCACATCTTTAGTTGGCTTCAAGCTCAGTCTTTTCAGCGGTATTGACGGTATAATAATTAGAACGGCGACTCTCGACGACGAAAAGCGGGAAGATAGCCATCAAAAAAGTTTAGGCGCTGCGACAATAATAGCGGGTTCTGTAGCACGGGAAACTATGAGCCACCGATCTCCGCCTTGTGATTTTGTGGCCACTGAGTGCCCTGTTGCCAGCGTCAGGGCCAAGGTTATAGAAAATGTTAGGTAGCAGCGTAAGGGCAGGGACTCTGCCAGGTTCCCTGACACCTATCTGAAACAGGTGCCTAGCTGAGGCGCAAGTATAGCCGATTTCTAGAATGAGTGCTCGGACTAATCAGGGAGTGCTAAGTGATGTTTAAGTAAAGGCTCAGTTAAAGCTCAGGTTAAGGCGGCCTTCGATCACCCTCTAGGATCAAACGGTACGTGGCAATTAGGTTTTTCGTTCTCGAGTAATCTAGATGGGCACTGGCGACAGGTGCCCAGGCCTCTAATATTTAATGTATTGTTGCTGTCGTCAGAGGTGTCACTCACACCTCGCCCCTGCCCCGCATCTATGAACATACCGACCTCACGGGCCATGGCATTCATCATTTCTGCCTATGTACTCACCTAGTTGGAAAACATATAAGCCTGTCGAGCCGCAACGGACGACGTCCTGATTGACTTGGAGCCAAATAACTCTCTCAATCCCCACCAATCTTCCAACATGGCCAAACGAATTGCATTCAAGGTCCATGGCAAAGTTCAGGGGGTGGCCTTTCGGTAAGTGTTCGTGTGATAGAGTTGACGCAGTTCTACTCCATACCAACCATCTAACTCCACACAGTGACTTCACCCAGAGAAGAGCTACGAGCTATGGGGTTACGGGCTTTGTTTTTAATACTTCAGACGGAAAGGTTAAACCTACCCCGTGCATTGATGGATAATGTAACCAAGTCGCGTCAGACCACCCGCTGACACATCCTCTCCGCATGTAGGTAGCCGGAGAAGCGCAAGGTGATGAGGAAGCACTAAAGAAACTGAAGGCGGATCTGAAGGTGGGACCTAGAGCAGCCCATGTGGTGAAACTCGAGATTAAGGACATCGCTGTCAAGGATGGAGAAGAATCGTTTGACGTCTCAGTATGAAGGACCGAAAGAAGTCTGCTCGCCTCCAGCATGTGCCCCGACAAACGTCCGCAGCAACTCAAGCCTGAACTAAAAGGGTTGATACATATCAAAATACTTGTAGAGGACCTCCGCGGGTGGTCCCTTCTGCACTTGGCTCTCACATCACACTGCATATCCGGATCTCCCAAGCGAGGACGCCGGCACGGGATATCAAAATAGAAATTTGAGCAAATAAGCACACGATGCTGTGCCACCAAATCGGTCTCAGATGCCTCATATGGGAGGATTAAAACTTGAGAAAGGAGCGCCTCAAGAGTGTGAATAGAGAGAAGCCGGTTTCTCCCGATATCCTACACGGTGAGCTCCAAGCAAGGCCTATGTCATCACTCCCCAGCCTTATGGGCTCAGTCTTCCAGCATCCCGATCTTCGCCGTCCTTGTCCAAGTCAGCTGTGCTGTAGATCTTGGTATAGTCGCCGAAAATCCAGATCTTTCGGAATTGATGGCCACAATGGCAAACTGGTGTTTTTGCGGCGGCTCCTGTTACTCATCCACCTCGACCTTAAACTCGAGGATGTCCCGTGCAAAGTTGCTGCATAACATACATCGGGTTCTCTATATTGGGAAGGTATCTCTTGCCCGACGAGGTAAAGCTTGAAATGCATAAAGTACAAATGCCCTTGATGATGGTATTGTGCAAACCTCCAGAGGAAGGGAAGTTGGAAACTTTGTGTGAGTCAGCAACTTAGAAAGACCAGACGGATTCAAGGTTTAGCTGGAGCAGACCCTGTGCACGGGTCGTGTACCGAGGAGTCTAACCGAAAAGGTGGCAAACGGACATCGAAGTTCCAGCTACTAACCACAGCCTGGTGCTGGCCTGGTGGCCCGGACACGAATTCGAACCGCGTTGTTCCTCCACTCGTTCCATTTCCTTTTGTAACATGCTCAGTGTGCATGCGTAACAGTGCATCTTTGAATGCCTGGGCTGCCTAAAGCGTGCTCCGAAATTGGCGCAAGTGGCGCATGACAACCAGCGCTTTGACACGCCTTCTCCTCGCTCCTCGCTTGACCCCCATGATGCCTGTACCTGTTCGGGTCCTGATACAAGACTATAAAATGATAACCGTGGATTGACATTGCGTTCCCGGCGTTCTTTGTTTCTCACTGTGCTGACCAAACTTTTTAAGACCGCCGGAGACTTGATCGGATCCCTTTTGCCTACCTTACGATTGTCCGCTATCGTTCACACAGATTCCTCTTCCCTCAATGGCCTCCTCGAAAGCCCTGTTCACGCCAACCATTACGGCGAATTTGTCGAGTGCAGCTAGGAAAGGACTGTTTTCGTCGACTATCACCGCTGCCGGTCTGAGGTGCAGCTATGCAGCTATTAGACCATTCGATATGCAGTCGAGACGGAACTTCTCTGCATCCCACAAGGCACAACTCGAGTTCTTCCCACCGGCCAAGAATCTTCCTCATATCAAAATGACGTACGCAATCGAAGCTCTATTCCACGACGATCTTACTGACTATTTGCAGTCCTCCACCATGGCCCCATCCGACTGCAACGGAAGAACAGCTTAAGAAGATTGAGATCGCTCATAGGGACGTGCGAAGTGCTTCGGATTGGGTTGCATACAATTCAGTGCGCTTTTTGCGCTGGGCGACTGATCTCGTCACGGGCTACCGCCATGATCCCAACAAGCCTTACATAATGAGCGAGAGGAAATGGCTAGTTCGATTCATCTTCCTCGAAACTGTGGCTGGTGTGCCGGGAATGGTGGCCGGCATGCTCCGTCACTTGCGGAGTCTACGGGCGATGAAGAGAGACAATGGGTGGTACGTATCAATACCGCCTGATCAACGCGGCGATCAACGCTGACACAGGTGTGCTTAGGATTGAAACAATGCTTGAAGATGCATACAACGAGCGGATGCACCTTTTGACGTTCCTGAAAATGGCCGAACCGGGACTCTTCATGAAATTGATGATTCTCGGTGCCCAGGGAGTGTTTTGCAACGGCTTCTTCGTTGCGTACCTGCTATCCCCGAAGACCTGCCACCGCTTCGTTGGTTACCTGGAAGAGGAGGCTACCAAGACGTACACCTATGCCATTGAAGACCTCGAGAGTGGAAAACTGCCGGGTTGGGAGAATCTTGAAGCACCGGAGATTGCCGTCAAGTACTGGAACATGCCAGAAGGCAAGAGGAGCATGAAAGACCTTCTCTACTATATCCGAGCAGACGAGGCAAAGCACCGAGAGATTCATCACACTTTGGGGAACCTCGACCAGGCTGAAGACCCCAATCCATTCGCCTCCGAGTACAAAGACCCATCTAAGCCGCACCCCGGCAGAGGTATTGAGCACATCAAGTCGAAAGGCTGGGAGCGAGAAGAAATAATTTGAGCGGGTGCTTTGTATCATCACCGGCGGGCAATGGGACAAAAATGCTGTTTTTGAAAGCGGGCGCAGAAGATTGAGGCGTTTCTTAGCGGCATCTTTTGATACGGCGTCGCATGTGCTCTTCTTGGAGGGCGGTTGATTCCCACGATTTGACTGAGACTTGGACGCAGGTCAGTCTAGAATTCGGCTGGCTTGCCAACATTGATAGATATCGGGTGGACCGCGTTTTCCGGCCACACTGGGCACCCTCGTGGGATATTAAAAGACAGCATTCCCCAATCCATAAACATAATCCATCAGTATCTTCTGATCTCGAGTCCAAGTCTTCCGTGTTGTTGTTTATACCTATGCCCCCGATAGATTTCCTGTGCTGGACGAGGGATTGATGTCAGAGTGCATTTCTCAGGCACAAACCCAAGGCCAGCCTGCTGAAGTCGATACTAGTGGCCCTGCACGGCCCGGCAGCCCAGTTTTTAAGCTCCGCAAGCGCGCCGTGGGAGGGACTGCGGTTTGCTGCGCTGGACAGTGTTCCCTAACCCTGGTTCGTCGCCTGCACTTGTTGGTGTAATCTTACCCAAACAAATCCCCGGGGCGTGCAGGGCGTGCAGAGCGTGCACTGCCAACGCCAACAAACCTTCTACAGTCCAACCTCGTCCATCCGACCATCGACTCACCGTCGCTCTTCACACTCGAAACACACTGGCACCCAACCTCACCGGCGTACCAACTGCGCCTCAACCACCATTGCACAACATTTTTGCAAACAATTCTCTTTGCTATACCCTTCATCCGGTCAAGCCCTGAACACGCCGAGCTCCCTTTTGTGCGTCCTCAGCGATTCTTCCGCATATGAACAGCACTGCGACTGCAGC